GCAGCAGAGAGGGTGCACTCCCAAAAATACCCCTGGCCATGGCCACACTGACACAGCTGTGCCCTGCACATCCCTCCCCACGAAGGTGCCCATTATCCCATAGCTTTGAGGCTTTTTCTCCGTGTGAGGGACTCTGTTGGCAAAAACTCTGAGCAGCCCTCCTCTTCCCCCTCCCTTTCTGCTGAAGGAAGGGGACTCGAGGCACGTGTCTGGCCAGCCAGTTCCCTGGCGGGATGGCCGAGATCAGGCTCTTCCACTGCTAATGGGGAAGAGCAGAGAGGGGAGCCAGGCTGCTGACCCCGAGTGATGCTGCACCGTCCTGCTGCGCCCACTGCCCCCAGTGCACCGAGAGCACAGGGGGTTACGGACCAGCGGTTTGCGAGGGCTACGCAGCTCATTAGCTGCCCCCCTCACTCCCGAGTGTCGGTAAAAAATTGAGTATTTGTTGGTTTGTGGAATAAACACCCAAACTGGCATTGCAAAAGGGGCACTCAGCACACAGCTGAATCCCAGCTTGGCAAGAAACACGCGCTTCCCTCCCCGAGGCTGCAGATTGTCCCCCCTCAGCTCAGGCAAGCTCCCACCCACCTCACCAGAAGCCACGCTGGAGGGCACCCACTGCCCCAGAGGTGCTGGGAGACACATTCGTCCCTCTGGACACGCTGCCCTAAGGAGGGGAGAGCCCTCAGCGAGAAGCCCCATGGACATACCCAGGCTGTATTCTCCAGGCAAGAGCAAGCACAGCCGAGATATGCCCCACCACACACACTCCCCTTCCCTCCGCTGACAAGCCGGAAGGATTATGGGGCCGGCACAGGGAACTTCTTGTCCTGCCAGGGCATGAACCTTCCTCTCCCAGTCTCCAGGAGGCACAAAGCAGCTCCGAGCGGTTGCAAGCAGACAGGCTTTGTACAGAGTTCCCGCAAACATCACTGCTTTTATTTAAAGCAGAAAACACAGGATGTTACAGATGAGTGGAAAAATGTGAACTGCCCCATTGCCTGCAGAGCCCCTCAGACTGGAGAATGCTTTTCTGGAAGTCGGAGGGTCTCCAGACAGGATTAGGAAAGCACATAGCGTCTGCTTTAGCTTTTTATTTCTGCCCTGCTTGGCTGCAGCTACAACTCCCTGCACCCCCTCCACAAACACCCCCCCAGCCAGGGTCCCGTACCTTCCCTCCCACTTACAGCTTCCCATAGCCCTTTTGTATTTGACTCCTGAGAGGCCTTTTTCAAACTCCTTTTGTCAGCTCCATCTCTTTGAAACGCTGGAAAGCTACCAGCGAGAAGCCTGGCTCCTGCTCTCCACCGCCAGTGCTGGCAGCAGCTTGCCCAGACCTCTGCCAGGCTCTGGCCCTCCCCAGGGGCCCAAGGGCAGCCCCAACCCCAGCCCAAGCCAGGCAGGAGCCACAGCCACCTCTGTCCCTTGCTCAGCTTCATACGGACAAGTCGTACCACTCAGTGGCTCAACAGCTTGCACAGCAATCACTTTATAGCGCCCACCAGCATTCACAAAATGCCAGAGTTCCCAAAACTCTGACACCAGTTACAGAATTTCCTTGCAGAACATTGGGGAAGAATTGTTAAAAAGAGCTCATTTTATTCCCACTTTGGGGATCCTGCAAGACAAAGAAGGCCACAGGTAGTTGTGGTGGTTTTTATCCTAACGTTAGCACATGCTTTTTATTCTTCAAGCTCAACAACCACCAGTCAACCTATCTAACATAACTGAAGACATCTCAAACACTTAGTCTCAGAAAACCAACACTTATGACTTATTTAGCCATCCATAGGGTCCTTTACCAACGCTACTTACCTTGCTCTGGCTGCAGAGCTAGAAAGCAGCAGCCGACCTCAGAGCAAGGCACAAACCCCATCAACTCAACATCGTGGCACTGTGCTTAATTCATACCCCTTCAAACACCTGACCCAGAGTGCCTTTTAATTGACTACAATTAGAAACTGTTGATCGGCTTGCCCCTAGTGTCAAAGACCACAATTGTACGATCTGGTGAAAAGAGAGACTGTTACTATTTTTTAACCACAATTCCTTTTTTTGAGCATAGTAAAATAGCTAAGCAGTGTATTGAATGACATAGTATTACTCATATGCTTAAGCACCTGGGTCCGTGATCTTGTGCTTTATAAAGTGCTCTGAGCTGTGCTGTAATTGCCTATAAATATGCTGCTGATCGTGCTTAAAGGGACACTGTCAAGGTTGGCAAGCCTACAGTTTGACTTAGTAAAATGACATCTTAAAATAGTTTTATTCTTAGTGTTCCTGAATTACCAACCTGTGTTTTTGATCATGCTTCTTTTTATCAGTCCAGCTCCTAGGATTAACAAGGTTATGGGACAATGTTCACTTTTAAAGCAATGGACCAGTTGTAGAAACAGTACGATAGAGGCTAATGTTCCCATCCTGAACACACAAGGAAAAGCACTTTGCTGTAAAACCTATTTTTACTGATGTAAGTGGGTGTGACCTGTATTGCCCTTACGGTTTGCAACAAGGTCACCCCTTGTTGAAGCAATGTCTTGTAAAAGAAATCTTCATGAAAGAGCACAGGGCTGAGGGGATCAGGTCTGGGCAGTCTGCGGCTGCGCAAAGTACCCGTGTTCCATGGTGTCTCTATCAGTCAGCAGTCTTGTCCTAGTTGAGTTAAAGGGGAAGGGATACAAAAAAGAGTGCGTCAGGGAATAGAGTTACAAAGCTGGTGAGGAGCCTGCAACTTCATCTCGTCCTCAGCAGTGCTGCCAGGACGCAGAGGGGTGATGGGATGGGGAAATCCCGGGGACGAGAGTCCTTTCCCGCACCGTCCCTTCTGCAAGAGGCTCTGTGGCTGGAGCCCAGCGGCGGGGGACCTGGAGCCAGCTATTGAGGAGTTTTTTGATCTCAGGCAAAAAGCGGGCTTTCTCTTAAGGACAGAATACAAATAGCTAAGGAGTGAAAGGTGTCCTGGGATTTTCCCTTTTATGAAGAGCCTGATTTGTTTCTGAGTTGAATAATTCAGCTCACTCTGAGTGGCAGCCCTCCAGCACAACTTGTACTCACGGGAAACCTACAATGTCCCAGTAACCAAACCCATAGGTGCCAGTAAATGAAGAAGTATGTCTCATCGGTGCCAGGGACAATGCAAAACAGGGGTCTGCTGAGGGGAAATAGAGGCAAAAACTGTAGGCGAAGGCTGTGCTGATAGTGCCAGGGTGGCTGTGTAGAAATGCACATTTGGAAGAGGCAATGTGGCCTTAGCTGCCCTGCAGTATCCTGCTAGACTCTGTGCTGCAAGGTTTGAAGACAAAGCTCTTGAGTTTCCCAAGACATAGGCCTAGAACCAGGCTTCACCTTCCTCTCTGCCTGGGAGGGGAAAGATTTAGAGATATCCTAGATGTGAGGCAGCGTATTGGATGTGTTCATCCACCACAGGTGTGTGTTAGTCACACGATAGACACTGCCTAAATTCTAGAGACTTGAGGGAAGCCCTGGCAAGGAGTAAAATAAAACTCAGAAAGGACCAAAAAACACATAGAAGGTCTCCAGAGCCTGGGAAAAAGGCACACCTGCAGCAGGCATGCCTAAATCAGGGACTGGTGAGTGTTCATGGCTGGTGGCATCACTTGATGCTGCAGTTGCTCAAAGAGGCAGGAAGAGTAAAAATCTTCCTCTTAATTTTTTTTTTTTTTTCAATTACTGGAAAGAGAAGAAAGTAAAAGAAAAAGAAATATCTCTTAGGCTGAAGATCCCACAGAACAGAAAAAGGCAAGTCCAATGTCAGTCTAACGACAGATCCAGCTCAATGTGCCAGCAGGTGGGAAGGTGCTCCCCACACTTCGAGTATGCACCCAAGAACAGGGCAGCACAGGGGCTGTGTCTCTCACGCAGGCAAGCCTTGCAGGGTGTGAATATGGATGCGGATAAGCACTTGGAAAAAGTCTCATGTGTCTAACACCAAAGGGTGCATTTTGAGCTCTAACAGTTACAGAGAAACGCTTGAAAGTGCAACTTGCATATATTTTAAGAGCTTGCAGAAACCAGAGTAAAAGCAAAATGAGCCCAAAGTTTGTACTTTTAAAAATATCATGCTTTTTAGACAAAGCTCATATCTCCTGATTTGTTTTAAGCTGACTCAATATTTTTAAATGGTTGTCCTTGAGAATTGCAAAACGTGTTTTATTTTTTTGTAGATTTATTCCATAGAAATGCTTAAAGAGCAATAAAGTCAATCTCAATAGCCTTGCTTAAATCCATGATTATATCAATTCCGTATTGTGGGTACGCAGGGAGAAACTAACTGAGTAGGAAATTGTAAGGGATTCCTGCAACAATAGTTACATTGTTTGTACACATATATATCATAATAATAACAGAAAAGCAATAGCAACCTTGCAGTTACAAAAATAGCCGGCGTCCTTTAAAAACATATGTGTTTATACTGCGTTTACCCAGATTAACTGTGTTGTTAGGGACTGACACATTATGTACACTCCATCTTCCATTTGATTTATCGAAGTTCTGTCGGGGCTTCTTTTCTTCAAAACTGTGGTTGTGCCCGACGTTCGCCGAGAGGAACCCAAGTTCCATGAAAAGATAAACACCTGGAAGCTGAGATCAGGAGTGTACAAGAAACATGAATTAATTTAATGACAGTACTTTGCAATGGACCATATAAATTTTCCCGCTGTAATTGGTATATACATTCAACAGTTTTATTGTATGTCAGTGCACATTATTCGGCACAGCTGCTAGAGAGGCATTGCTGAACTGGTGTTTCTCTTCCATGACAAACACCTATTAAGCAGTCAGCATAAACTCTTCTTGTTACAGCCTCTGACATCACCCTCAGGGCAAGCGGACACAGAACAGCAATTGCTGAATTGCGTATGAAAATTATAGTTTTATTGTCTATACAAGTGAAGGTTTAACTCCGATTTCTGCTCGAGTCAGCTCTGTTATAAAGGAGCGATTCTTTCAGGGAACAAACAAGCACAGTACACCATTGTAATCAAAGGAACAGGCACTATTTATGTATTGGAAAGCCTTGTTCACAATAGTGCTAACACTCTAATGCCCCAGAAGCCACTATTTTAGCAGCTGTAGAGAAAAAAAGCATGACTAACAAGATGCCACACAGAGTCAGATACAGTTTTATTAGAGCACAAATGGAATCATCCCATTTGATACAGCTCATTTTAACATGCACGACTGATAAGTAGGGATCATGTATTTAATGTTTATAGAAGCAGTTTCTCCACCACAGCGTTCAAAGGCTTCCAGAGTCTCTTGAATCAGATCTCCAATATTTTCACGCTTCTGCTGGCTGTAGTCTATCCCATCGCCTGAATTAACTGGTAAATATGAGAAAAAAAACAACAACAACAAAAAACAAAAAACAAAGAATTATATTAAATTTACTGTTACTCTTTGAAATAATGACACAGGAAATTGCTGTTTCTGGTCAGTCACTGTGCCTCTATTAGCAACTTTGCTCTGTGACAAGAAACACAGTTGAATTTGAAAGCAGGATGATTTTGGTATATTTTTAAGGCTCTGCTCAGGCTCCAACTTCGTATGCCTTCAAAATATGTTTATATACACATTACTTCAGGATCTAAGCAAAAATGCTAATAAAAATAAAGAAAACATTCTTTTATAAGATAAAGATGGACTCTCTCTTACGCAGTTAATCTCTTAAGACCTTTACTTCTTTATTTCTAACATTGCTTGTTTAGGACAAAAACCTACTGCCAGATGCATAAATGCTTATCTACAAAATGTGACTTAAGCTAGACTTGTTAGGGTTTGAAATCTTATACAGGTATTGTTTTGGGATTGTTTCCTGTTAGGCATCATATTCACATGCTTACGTTGTTTCTGATAGAGGGGATGTCATCTAGCCTAAAAGAGATATTTGGAGTGTAACATGACACTCATTCAATTTCTGCTCCCTGAAAAACGTGTAAAATTAAGTCAATGTCAAAAGGACAAATTATTGCAGTCGGTAGACACAGTAACACTTACTGCTGCTTTCTCTAACATGGAATAGCAAGGGTGACATACATTCATACATGCACAGCATAATTCTTTAAAAAAATCAGTGTGAACAACTGCGACAAGAAAAAATACAAGAGTAAGAAATAACTTTACCTGCAACGATGCTGAGAGATTTAAAGGAGGAAAACATATTTTGTTTTGTTTTAAAGCAATATCCTGAACAACATCTTAATATGGGTATATTCCAAGACATATATAAACAATAATTTGGTAGGAGTGTAGTGTACTATGACCAGGTGTTACGGAGTGTCCAGGCAGAGTGTATGTCACACTGCTGTAGGGTAGTTCACATACAATCCGTCAGTGGTCTCACCCCTGGCAGTGGTGGCAGTGTGCCCATGTCATACATTTAACATCTCAAATAACGCTGCTTGCTTATTGACCCTCTCAGCCAGCCAGCAAAGGACACATTTGTCAAGACAACACAACCAACTTCTTGGGTTGTGCCTGCCTTTCACATTGGAAACGCGGCGCACACAAGGGCAAGGGTAGGTTTTGCTCCCAGTGCTGCCTCCACATCCCCAGGCTGATGGGGTGTAGATGTACGACTGCACCCATCCTCACATCCTCTCCTGGATCTCAGCCCGAGGATCTGGATTTAAAGTTTGTGACTTTGTTACCAGTAAAAACTGAAGTACCATGCTCATGAAGAAAGAGCTCATGAACATGGGTAAAAATCATCCTTTTGATGAATTTTCCTGTAAAATATCTGGTTGCACTCCAGGTTAATTATGTGTATATCAGTTTTTCGAACTCCTCACACACATTTGTGTCACTTTGCTTCTTGTAAAATGTTTACAGAAATATATATGTGACATACAAGTACTAGGCTTCTCAGTGGAAACGCAATAATTTTTTTGTGATGATTACTCTTAAGAACACAATTACTTTCCTATATATTAACTATTTATTTCACTAACATGAGAAGCTGAGCTTGTGATACTGAAACTTACTAAAAAGAATTTACTGTAATGTTAGAAATAATAGACTATGAGAATGCATAGAAATCACCAAGAGCTATTAAATGAAAGGATTATCTTATAAAAAATGCTAATGCAAAAATAAAAAAAAAATCACAACTGAGTGAAATTTAGACTACCCATAGTTTGCTCTTGCAGAAAACAACGGAGATCAACTGTGCATCATCACCTGTGTTGCATGTGCACTGCCAGCACTCTGCAGAACACCTGGAGGTATTTCTGATTTCACCAGTTTGAGCAAAGGAAACCCTGAACCTTGACCTAAGTCTTGGCAAATATGTAAAGGAATTACTGACTTTCCAACCATTTGTCTATTATCTGTAACTTTAAGCCTACACACATGCTCCGGTAATGAGCTTACACAGCTTTCATCCTTCTTTCAAAGTAGTAATAAAAACAGCTCTCTGGAAGCAATGGTGATACATTGCTAAGCAAGTTTGGTGAGGGCCACTGTGAAAATGCTGGTAGCAGAGGTATTTTCCAGAATCCCATGTTACAGTCTTTATTATAGAGCGTAGCCTGTACAAGAAATGATGCCTTACATGCTTGGTTAAAAGGTGCCTAAGAGAACGAGGCAATGATAAAGGAAAACAGTCTGCAAGGGAAGACCGAATGTGTGATGTGCAGGCCGTCATTACAGGTTTTTTTTCCTACAGACCATCTGTGCTATATGAAGGTTTGTATCCTCAAGACAGCCATAATTCACCTTAATGTCATGACACAAGCTACAACCAACAATACCAGAAAGGTTATGTCAGCATCAAGGTCACCGGGTAAGTACTAAAATAGCCATCCTATGCAGTTATAGGAATTAACAAATCTTTCAGACAAAAAAGATAATCATTAACCCAACAGGACAACATCCACAAAATGGATGAGTCAGAATGATCTGCCCAATGCACCTAAGGGTAAGTATCTAGTTATAATAATAATGATGATTAGATGGGAAAAAATAGCTACTGAAGTACAGCGGTCTCAGCATGTCCTTCTCTGGTTTGACTCTATTTCCAAGTTTGCATGAGAAGCCAACTTTGCCAGCCACAAAAATGGTGCCTATGTAAAGTGTGAACATGGATCTGATTCAAGCTCTTTATGAAGTTGTCCTTTGTGAGGAAGAATAAATCAACATGAAAAAAGCTATGAAGCACATTTGTCATATCTTTGTCTCAAAGTGAAATGTCTGGCAAATTCAGCATGCATCAAGAACTCTTTTCAGAGTAAATGTTATTTCTGTGTTTAGAAGTGCATTGAAGTGATACTAACAGATCTAGAGGATTACAATCAGGAAAAGATCTCATTTTCCCTTCTTGGATCAAAAAGTCAGTTCCCAGTCTCGTAAATTGTGCACCAAGGGGTTTATGGCCCTTAAAAGCGAAGTGAAAAGCTTTGCACCTGTCAATACCTGTGTTAGCTGATGAAATCCCCCAGCACACCAAGGCCAGGAGTGGCACTCCCGGCCCGGCCGCCGGTGCTGCCCGTGCCGGCTGCCGTAGCCGAGGAAACCCTGCTCAGACCCTCAGGGGCTGAACTCAGCGTTTGGCAGCAAACGGAGGAGGATTTGAATTTTGCTGTAAACCATGGTTTGTATTTGAGTCTAGACATGCTGCTGTTCGTGATTCAGGATATTAAAGAAATTCTAGTGTTATTTGTATCCCATCTCATTTTATTTTAAAATTTCACTAGGGTAATGCTACAAACATAAAATTGTATTGTGTTAAAGAAGGACAAGCAATTTTCTCTCAACGCATAAAGAGCTTGATAGGGCAGTTTTGAAGTCCCAGAGTGGACGAGAAAGGTAAACCAACCCTTAAAGCTCAGTCAGATCTATTCTTATCTCTGGACATTTGTTAGCATCTGAAAGTGTCCGAGATTCTTTCAGTTTATTAGATTTTACTTCACGGCAGGCCAGGTCTCGAATAGAGGTTTTTTTAATCCCCCGAATATGTCAAAGTAGCTCTCTAAGTATCTCACACATACCAGAGCTCGCTCCTGGTGGTGGCTGTTCCCATGGTGGTGGCCTCATGGAAAGCACGTATTAAAACCAGAGTTTTCATACACCTGTTGTTGTAGGGCTGTCATAGATCTTGGGATATTACAACTTTCCCAAATGTTAAATATCTGAGGAGTGCTTAGCATTGGAGGACAGAATAATACTTAAAACAGATTTCTGAAGAGACTGTGAAGGAAGCCCCGTGTTGCCAGCTTAAGCAACGCTTTTAATCAAATGGTAACTACAGGCCACTCCTTTATTTTTTACTGAAGAACTTTTGAGAGCACATATGCACACATATATTTCAACTTGTTGTCTTGGAACAAGTGGGTCCTAGCAGAAATTTTTTAACTACTACTAGTTAATAACAGAGAGCTCTTGTATAATGGGATTTTTTTTTGTATGCAAATCACTAAAGCTACTTGGAAAGACAAGCATCATGTCTCCCTTTTTGAATCTTGAGAGAGAGTGAATGGTGAAGTGACTTGCTCCAAGTCACGGAAGGGATCAGTCACAAATCATGTTTTTTGACTTTATATTGTAGATGATGAAAATGCTATTTATGCTAAAATATAACTATGGTAAAAGAAATTTTTAAGATGCTCGGTTCCTCCTAGTCAAACTAATGGGTATTTTCAGCAATTAAAATGATTACAGTAATCCAATGCGCCAACTGAATAAGGTTTTTACTTCAAAAAAACAACAGTGATGAGATTTTAAAGTGCAGATATATTTCTCAGTACAGAATGGTATTTCTGCAGAAAAGCCTATCACAGAACAATATACAGTTGAGCAGGACAAACGAGCATTAAAATATTTTGTGGAAAATTTCAGGACTTTATCCCTTCTAGGGGTCAGAATCAGTACCAAGAAATAAATGGAAGCTGATTTCACCTATAGATTGACATGCATGTGGTCAGGGTTCACATCGCATGAGCTCACTGCTCAGGTACAGTTCAGAGCTTAATTAATTTTTCAAAGTCCTCTTGTTAGGATTAGTTTAACTGTCATAAAAGATGTTGGCTTCCTGACCGGAGTGGAAAATGAAAGCCTGTGATGAGTCAGTGCGGTGGAAGGGAGGAGGGCTCCTTTGCACCCCTCCTCTCACTGTGACTCAGAGCTCTGCTTTGAAATTGTCAGCTCCGGGAAGAATGAGGTACTTGGGTCTCCCTGTTTATTTCATTGAAAGTCTGTGAAAAGTCACAGGCTAAGACTCAAAACTCCTCCTGTCTGCTAAGAAACGAGGGACATTGCTGGTTTATTTCACTCAGGTGAAGGAAGATCCAGCAGGAGGTTACGACTTCTGGTCATTACTAACCCAGAC